CATAGCGGTAAATGAAACTTGGCTCGACGCAAATATTCTCCCATAAAGTGAATAAATCTTTTATTTTGTTTTTCTCCTTTTTGAGTTATTATTTGTTATTATAAATAGTGCTAAGTGATTTTTTTTGGGGAATAAATTTTCTTTCCTCTTTTTTGTCACAGAATTATGTCACAACTTGTATATCTGAAATACTTATTATTGTATTGATAGAACAAATATGAAGGATGATATACCTACGGGTAAAAATCCGAAATGAGAAATATTATGTACACCATAGATAAACAAGTATAATAGATCGCTATGTCTGGCGGTTTGACGTTACCTCGATTGAAATACAAATTTTTAAAAATAGATGGCAGCACATGTATAATATTTTAATTACCCCTGGTTTTACTTCTTAATTTGTACGTATCGTATACAGCCCCAAAAACCTGAATAATTTTTTTAACTTCCCGTAGGGTAAGTTATTGTAATGGGCCGAAAATCGGAATTGAAAATTTTTACATTTCTCGACGTTTTGAAGGTTTCTGAACATTTTGGCATACCTCAGAAAAAATGGATGTGTGTGTGTGTGTGTGTATGTGTGTGTGTGTGTATGTATGTGTGGATACAAATTTCCAGTCACGTTTTAGGGCGCACGGATCAACCGATTTGAATGGTTCAAAAAACATTCGATTCCTATTGATAGGGAAAAGAGCTGATTAGTTTTTGGTAAAGGCAGGTCCAGCCGTTTCGGAGATACGGAGCAAAGAGTGCGGAAAATAGAAATCGATTTTTTGAGAGAACGGAGTATCCGATTTGAATGATCTAAAAAACATTCAATTAGTAATGATTGGGAGAAGTGTTTATTAGTTTTTGGCAAAGGCAGGCCCAGCCATTTCGAAGATACGGAGCTAAATATGTAAAAAATGGCAGTTTTTGAGAGAACTAAGCGTCCGATTTGAATGATTCAAAAAACTTTCCGCTTGTCTTAACAAAATAATTGATTTTGGAAAAAAAAAATTTTGTTCCATTTTTTTTTTTAATTTTTTTTTTTTAGTTTTTTGTTGAAACAAATAATTTCAACTTTGCAATTCAGTTTATATAATTCTTATAAATATTAGACAATGTTACAATATTTATAATAATCTATTTGAAAACATTCAGTATTCCTCGAACATTTCGTTACGGTACGGGAAGTTCCAGCAATTTGCCTTAAGGCACGATGCCACCCACCCCACTAGTTAATATTGGAAATAAGAACAAATCATACGAAATACAAAATATATATTTTCAAAGATATTACATATGTTTAAAGAACAATTAAAATTATGTTTATATTAACAATTATAATTACAGTTATGGAATGTTTGAAAATATAATAATTATTATACATAATTATAAAAGTATTATAATTTCACAATTATGCTTAAATAATATTTCAAAAACTAAATATCTAAGTGAAGAAAATCACAGAAGTATTTAACTAAACTAAGCACAAATAACTGACTAATATTAATTACTTAATGACTAATATTAATATATTAAAATCTTAAAAACTAAGAAGAAACTACAAGCACAGAAGCACGCAATGAAATTACAAATTTAGAAGGAATGACAAATAATACAAAAATTTAAAGGGTTAAGAAAAAAACAAATAATTTGTTAAAAAGTACAAATACTTCACAAACAAAAAAGTCCTAAAAACATAAAATATATATATTGATATCAAAATTGAGAGAAATTCAAATTCCTAGGATTAAAACTCATTTACGAGACATTGTTCTTTATTAATTCTGCATGTAATAGTTATTTCGCTATCTAATGAATTAATAGTAAAGTTGCATTTAACAAAACCTTTGAATAGTTTCTGTACGAGTGTTTTATAACATTACATTTAGCCATGTTCCATCATGAAAACATTATCATTGAAATTGCCATAAAAGATCAACAAAGTGTTTACAATAAACAGAATAATGTTTTATGTACATACAATTGTTTATGAATCAAAAGATAAAAGCAATATTATAACACTAATCTTCAATCAAAATACATTAAAATATTATGTATGGTATAGACTCTCTTTATAAGTGTTTACATTTGCTAATGTAATAGATAATCTTATTAAATATAACAATGAACTTACGTTGATAAACATTTGAACCAATACTAGTTTACTTTATAAGTGTTTACATTTGCTAATGTAATAAATAATCTTATTAAATATAACAATGAACTTACGTTGATGAACATTTAAACCATACTAGCTGAATAACTGTTTTGCAACTTCAACAATATGAGATTCAATCCAATCATATAACAATTCCGAAGATAATGGTATTTCATCAAACATCAAAACACAGTATCTGCTACTAATACTTTTTAAAAGAAATAGCTGAACCTAATGTTTTAAATAGACACTCATAAATACCGCTATACACTTGTATCTCTGAATGCAACTTTCTCAATGTTTGAGGACATGGCAAAATAAATATTTGTCTCCAAAAATAGTAGACCTTTGGAGACTTTTTGTACGACTTATTCCTTAAATTATTGCATTGTTTATGAATCCTTCTTGTCATTACATATTGCATTCTTTGGTTGTCAAAAGTACTCCTGCGCTTTGTTCGTGCATTTTGCAGCAATTTGCAGGTACCCCCAAGACACCTATTCAATATAATAACATGTTGACATATCTTGATTATATATAATTATTGCTGCAATTATTATTAAAAAATACCTTTGCGGAAACTTGTATTGGAATAGCTAAATATTTTAACCCGCACTTGACACTTTTTGGGTACTATAAAAACACTTTGCCATATTAAATTTCACAAATGTTCACTTAAACAAAATTAATTAATTAGAAACAACACGAGTTCAAAAAGTTAGGTTATTCGTACAGCCATACAGCAATCAAATACTTGACAGCCACTTGCATGAACCACGAACAATTTGTAGTTGAAATTGAGTGCACATGAGCCATCTGTTTTTAAAAATTGAAACTACTCAGGACCAAAACAGTGCAACGCGCATTTGTTCGAAGATAACTCCCCATGATGTACACATATATATTCAATGAAATATATTTATTTAATTAATTAATTAATCTAAAATAAAATTGTTTAAATATAATTTTTAGTAAAATTATTCATTGGGCTAAATGATATTATTGAATTTGCTATCATTTACACTAGCTATATTGTTAGCAAAAATAATCTCATTTTTATTATTTACACAAAATTGAAACATGTTGCTTTATTCCATTGAGTAGTGCAATTACTAAAAATGTATATAATTTGCAAAAGGTGGCTGCAAATTTGATTGTTTTATTTGTCCTAACGCCAGTAGGCTATATTATCACATTCAATTCTAGTTTGAATTTATTTTATTATTATTATTAACGTCCTAGCCTTTATTTAGTAAAAACTAACTGCAGTCAAATGAGTCCCTACTCATGACAAATTTGAAACTTGATCTTATAATACTTGAATACCAAATCAAAGCACTCCGTAATGTTGGTTTTAATATGTTCTGGAATAACTATATTTCGTTCTTTCTCAAATATTTGTCATAGAGATTAAATATAAATAATTTGTTATTGCAAATTCCTAAATCTCGACGTTAAAGGCCAACATCTTTGCAAGATTCGATCCTAGACAATATTTGAGTATGATATCTCCATCATATATTATTATATCGTATAGGATCTTCATATTTGGTTTTCAGGTTTAAACTACTTTTTTCGCCGAACTATTCTTGTCGGCGACAACTTCATGTCGTCCGTGAAATGTACAATCGATTTATGACAGCTAAACACTCGTTCCGACGACAACTTCATAGCGTCCGTTAAAAGTACGATCAAAGGTCAATGACCGTTTCTATGACCGCTAAACGTCAAAATTAGCATGGTTTAAGGTCGTGTTTTAACAAGCGTTTATTATATTGTCTAGGTAATCTCTTCATAAAAAATTTATTACAATGGTCGCCATGTTTGATTTACCTATCTGTCATATGTCAGATTCGATTTCAAAGTGAAAAAAAACAATGAAAACAAGCGCGACCGGCGGCAGGGGCTCTAACTAAACTCGGGTTACAGACGTTTGTTCTGAGATTACCGGCCATGTATATATATATATATATATATATATATATATATATATATATATATATATATATATATATATATATATATATATATATTGAATGGTAGAGTCTTGGATTTGTGTATATTTTGTAGAGTTTCGAACAAGAATCCAAAAATAATACAAAATAAAAAACAAGAAAAGTTTTTAATAAACAATTTCTTTATTTAATTATTTGTTTTACTGTCGACGTTTCGGAACTAGGTACGTTCCATCTTCAGGACATCTGTCAAGAAACATGATCTTGATGAGATTTTAGCAAACAATATGTTTAGGAAAAGAAAATAGATTTTTCTTAAATAATAAATTAATTGCAGAAAAAAAAATATATATAATAATGTACAGAAATATGTTAATATGATCACAATGAAAATGATAAAAATGATAAAAATAAATGAGTGGATTATCAGAACAGGATATTAAACATAATAGAAAATTTTTTGAAAGTTATGGAAACATTTTGGTTTATTTTGTATTATTTTTGGATACTTGTTCGAAACTCTACAAAATATATATATATATATATATATATATATATATATATATATATATATATATATAAACACCGTGCGGCCCGCCAAAAAATTTGAAAATTTATATTGGCCCATGGGTTAAAAAGGTTGCTCGCCCTTGGTCTATGGTTCAGACACTCTTCACTTTAGATACTCTTCTTTTATCTATGCTTCACTTGTTTTGACAGAAGCCATGTTATAGATGCTCTGCTGTTGGTATGCCTGCTCAAAATAATTTCTGATTTTTTAAATGTTGGTATCGTGATTTACTTCGTTTCAGCACTATTTATCCTGTGTTTAGAGCCGTGTATGTTTATTGACTCCCATGTTGACAGTTAAAACTATTGAACGCTTGATAATTGGTAATAGCATTTATCTGTCAAAAGTTTTCGAACATGTGTAAATGGTTCATGAAACGTACAAATCTTTAAAATACATTATATTAAAATAAAGAATATTACTTCACTTTGTAAAGTTGGATATGATTTTCATCAAATTAAAATTATATTACTGTTGATTGGAGATTGTGTTATTAACTTAGGAATATTTAAATGACGAATTCACGAGAAGGTAACTGAGCTTGTTTGCACGTAGTAATATTGCATTAATAATTAATTTTATAGGAACTATATTTATTTCATATAGATATGCTAAGATGGCCAAAGACAACTTCGGGAACCTTTCTAGGAATGTCTTATCAACATTTAATACGATTTATATTTTCACAACCGAGATTTCATTAAATAAAGAATATGTAACATTAAAAATAATTAACGATCATAGACATGGAGTTATTTGTTCTGTAACACTTATAGTAATAATTTACATGAGCTTTATTTGTATATTTGCGATTATATCATTTTGTTTGAAAGTCAGAGATATTACTCAAAACAATTATAAAGAAAAGATGAATAGCGAAAATACCAATATTGAAAAGAACATTGTAAGTGCGTTTAATTGTATAGGAGATGGTAATTTCACTTTGCAATGTAATGATTTATTTAAGAACTCTGTCGCTAATAATACTATAGACATTGAAAATATTTCAAAGACCAAGTCAGTGAAGTCTCAAGCAACTCCAATCTCATCCAATCAATTACCAAATGCATCTAATTATGAAGAAAATATTTGTTCAAAATCTTTTCCCTTTGAAAGTGAAAAACCTCCTTTGCCTAATAACAGTGATTTATGTACCAACAGTCCAGAATCGAATGTATTTAATTTTGATTTACTTCCGAATAAAGATCATATGTACAATTATCATTTACATTCGCCACTGATGGTTGACAATATTGCTTACTACACTCCTAAAACATGCAATAGCCAAGGTTTTTCTGAATATAATACATGTGATAAATCAATTGGTTTAAGTATGCCAGCAAGGTGTCAGGAGAAATCAGAAACATGCAATATTGAATGCTCTGTGGATTTTGATGGGTAAAATTATAATAAAACGATTTTAATAAAATTATATGTTTTTTTATAAAATATTGTTTTTGTTTATTACAGAGTAGTTAACTCTCCCGAGAGTTGTGAATATTATTCTGCAAAGTCAACAATCAAAACACCTGAGTATTTTAAATTTCCTGAGTCCCAAGAGTTAGTAACTGATAATATGTGTGAAGATTCTATAAAAAAGACTAAACAGTGGTTAATTAATGATAGAGAAGATGACATAAGCACTGTTTTTGCTAAAAACTTAAATATAGACTGTTCTACAATAATGCATCGACGAGCTCGTTTAAAATCAATCTCTTTGGATTCCACAATAATAGATTTTATGGACGACCCTTTGCCGACCACAACTGTGAGTGCTTCAGAAAATGCTTCAGTGGTGATAAACAATAATAGTGTTGTTGATGCTAAAGATATTGATAAGCGCAAGAAGTTGAGAAATCTCAAATCATTGACTTTAAATCTGAACCATAAAGATGAAAATTTGCAACATAATATCTCAGTACGTGATTGTGCTTTTAAAACTCCAACTTTAATTCAAAGTAAACAAAAAGCAATTTCCTTGGATTTAAGTGATGACTGTACTCCGCACTTTAAGTTTTCTATGAATAATACAACTATTCAAAATATATCTGCATCTGTGCCAAATACACCAAAAAAGTTTATCAAAAAAAATGCAAGAACATTTAATCAAACAAAGAGAAACAACTACAATAATATGAGTTTTCCAGAGTCGTTAAATATTTTTCAGATGGGTAATGTATGCACAAATTTAATATGTATTGTTCTTGGTATAGTTTTTCTAATGCATGTGAAATTTTGTATGTATACAATATTAACATATTGATTCATGCAACATGTTGAAAAATCATGATGTTTACAACTACATTCTACAAACTTTTGAATTAGAAATTCTAATAAAAACAAAAATGTTTAAATTTTTTTTATTCTGAATGTTTTGTATATTTGTGTAATACAACTTTAAGCATTATATATTGTGTTTTTAAATAATATCGGCTCTTTATGAAAAGAACAGCAAAATTTAAACAACATAAATTCAATTTTTTATACTTTTTTCTTCATATTTCAATATAAACTAATTTCTTTCTGTTTTAATGTATCAATATTTGAAGAATTAATAACGGTCAAATATATTACAATATTATAATTACGGGAATAAATAAATTATCATGAACATTTTTGTTTTTATTTGAAATATCTTTTCAATACTAAATACAAATTTGTATAGTCATTTTGAGTGTCACTTTGGCTTGACTTCAGTACAATACTTAGAAAATTATATATACCTTCACATTTTATGTACTTTATTAACGTTATTCATTTTGCATTTTCTTCCACAACATGAATCTACTAAAAAAATTTTGAGTACTGTTTTGAAACAAACTATGCATTTATGAAATTCAAGTTAGTTCAATGTACCTCAATATCATGCGAACACATCTATTTATATAAAAATGTCTGTCAGACTGTACTATATGGATTCGAAAGTGTTACATACGATCGGCGTGAAATTTCGGGAAATTATTGAGTATATCCCTGGACATATTGTCGCATATTCTTATTGCAACCATTTGGTAAGGGTTTTTGATTATATTAAACTTTTGTGAACAGATTTCGAAATTTTTCATAAAACTTAGAATTCCTGGCCACCAACACATTGTCCAACAGACTAATAGAAACATGGCACAGAATTTTCTAGAAACAACTTCACACCGGTTTTCTCAACTCAGTCCAATCAGATGTTGCGTATCCGTTTGGCTCCAAAAGCGTAATTTTTCTTGAGAAAACAATGAAAATACAAGTGATATGTAGCCAGTGGAGCACAACCAATCAAAGCACGTCTCGAAATGACATATTTAGGCGAGCGCTACGAATTTGTGGTCATTCATATAAATATAAATATGTAATGTTTTGCTCGATTACTAGACTTTGTTAATAAATATGTAATTATATGAATATATAAATATGTATTATATGAAGCTTGTGTTTGTGCACTATAATCAATTCAATTGTCGATATTAAGTTTGTTTGAAACACAACAATTGAAAAGCGTAAACTTTATTTGCAAAATAAACAGATGAAAATTTCCACATATAGAGAACCTCTTTTGTCTCAGAACAAAATCTGGTGTCTGGTGCACACGACGCCAGTATTCCTTGTCAGGAACAGTCAGGATTTCTGTCGTAAGGCGAGCAAGAATTTTGCGCCAGATTTTCACCTATTTTATGATTAATAGTAATTTTGTGCATTTTCAAATAGATTATTATAAATATATGCTGTGAATTTCACAATTCATATTTTATAGGACTAAAATATTCTAATGCTTATAAGCAGTGGTGTTGTGCTAAAATTTCTTTTGCCGGAACGCTCAAATTAAAAGAACCGGTTCTCATATTTCAAAGAAAAAAATCATTACAAAACCGTATTTAATGTATATTATTTTGATTGGCAACTATGCAAAAAAACATTTTGAGCATATATATGTTTATTACAATAATAAGAATGTTTCATAAGTTGTTAAATCATAAAATACAAATAGTATATTAAACAACACTGAATAAATATTTTTAACAGTTTTAACATGAATTAATGTTTTAATATTAGTGTAATGGTTTTTATAAAATATTCCAAATAGAATTATGTTCAGGCTCTTGGAGTTGAATTTTTCTTGATTTGTTGTCATCCGCTGAACGATGAGACCTTAACCAAGTTTTTACATAATTATTTGGATTAAATAATTGTTGTGGTGGGCCATTCATTTTTATAAATAAAAGATTTGCTAAATTTTCAATTAAAATTCTATTTCTCTGCTCATTTAAAATAATATTCATATTGCTGAATCCGCGCTCACATTCTGCAGAACTGCAAGGTACAATATTTATGTATCGAATTAAAATTTATATATCTTCAGGAACTACTTTGCCTCCAGTATCAATATAACCTCTAAACGCATTGATGGATCGCATAGGTGATGTTAAATTAAACCTGGTGCATAAAGACTGGATTTCCTTTTCTCCATAGCCTATTTCAATATCTGCTGGCCACTTTGTTGGATATAATACTCGAAATTCACTTATTAAATCGTTTTTTGTATGTAGTCTTCTAGTCATATTATTAATGAGACTCACAAGGAATTGATTTCTATTAATAATAGTAATTTTTTTATTATCTGTTAAAGTTTTTAGACCCATGTATACACTCTGATCAGTTTTTGAACGAGTTTCATCAGTTTCGGCTTGATGAAAATGTCCAGCAAGAGATTTTAAATTCTGCCAAACTGCATTAACTGTTCTGAATGAACTAGCTATCCACCTTATTCCTAAAACTCGTCCTATTTTTTTAATTTCTTCTCCCAAATTCTCCGCACATGAATCTAGTTCGCGTTGATTTTTAGGAGATTGATGATGAATGGTATATAATTTATCCATAAATTTTTGAAAATGATTTACTTTTACGACAGCATTGTTAACAGAGAGCTCCAGACGATGATTCAAACAGTGCCACGTGATTATTTTTGGGAATTTATTCAATAATTTTGTAGCCATTCCTGACATTTTTCCTAACATTACGCTTGCTCCGTCACTGGTAAATGCAATTAAATTTTGTTGCAAATAATTATCGTCGAAGCCATATTTTTCCAAATTATTCAAAAGGCATTCTGTAATGGTGGATGCTCTTTGATCGCTCAATTCTATTAAATCTAAAAAAATGTATCGCGGTTCGCTGATTTCATTTATTTCAAATTTTAAAAATATAATCAAAGTAGATTTTTTACTTAACGTTGTAGATTCATCAATGAGAATCGAAATCTTACTTTTTTAACTTCCCGTAGGGTAAGTTATTGTAATGGGCCGAAAATCGGAATTGAAAATTTTTACATTTCTCGACGTTTTGAAGGTTTCTGAACCTTTTGGCATACCTCAGAAAAAATGGATGTGTGTGTGTGTGTGTGTGTGTGTGTATGTATGTATGGATACAAATTTTCGTCCACGTTTTCGGGCGTACGGATCAACCGATTTGAATGGTTCAAAAAACATTCGATTCCTATTGATAGGGAAAAGAGCTGATTAGTTTTTGGCAAAGGCAGGTCCAGCCGTTTCGGAGATACGGAGCAAAGAGTGCAGAAAATAGAAATCGAATTTTTGAGAGAACGGAGTATCCGATTGGAATGATCTAAAAAACATTCAATTAGTAATGATTGGGAGAAGCGTCTATTAGTTTTTGGCAAGGGCAGGCCCAGCCATTTCGAAGATATGGAGCTAAATATGTAAAAAATGGCAGTTTTTGAGAGAACTAAGCGTCCGATTTAAATGATTCAAAGAACTTTCTGCTTGTCTTAACAAAATAATTGATTTTGGAAAAACAAATTTTGTTCCAATTTTTTTTTTTTTTTTTTTTTTTTTTTTGTAGTTTTTTGTATATCGAAATATTTCAGATTTTATGTTTAATTCTGACTATAGTTCTAATATACTTTACAAATAATTTCAACTCTGCAATTCAGTTTATATAATTCTTATAAATATTAGACAATGTTACAATATTTATAATAATCTATTTGAAAACATTCAATATTCCTCAAACATTTCGTTACGGTACGGGAAGTTTCAGCAATTTGCCTTAAGGCACGATGCCATAATTGCCTCAAGACAGAATTCCACTTACAGCTAGTTTTTAATAATTTCCGAACAAATTCTTAATTTCATATTTTTTTATATGTGGTTAATTATATTTGTGCAAGTGTATCTCGACCGTAAACCAGGTGCAAAAATTATTCCATTTAAATTTTGCAACTGCAATAAATTGAAATAATCCGAATATGGTCGGTCATGTTTGGCTAAATAATAAGCAGTTCTAAATACTAAAGAGGTGCTATTAATTGACGCCTTATTTAAAGCGTCTATTACATTTTCCCTTGGCTGACGCTGTTCGCTGTTTAAAATTTTTTCCGAACTAATATGCGTTGTTAATTTTGCGTGTTCAAAATTTTTTTTCTTAATGACGTTAACTGCGATTTTTTATCTTTACCGTAGTAAGAAACGGATGTGGAACTCTATTCTTTAGAAATATTTAAACCGCGGGCCTTAGGTACCCCCAAGTGCTGAACTTTGTTACAAGAAGAGCAACCTAATTTTCCGGATTCGGAAAGTAACCAAGGAAACTGTTTTTTTCTTTATAACCATGTTTTCGCACACCAAATAATAGGCCACGATACTTCTTCAGAATTATTGTCATCAAATTAACATGTTGATGTTGCAAGTTCAACAGATTCCAGTCGATCAATGTTGAAGTTGGTGTTGGATACTTGGCTTAATGTTGCATTTTCCTCGGTCATTGAGCCACCTTCGCTGCTAGTTTTTGGTTTCTTTTTGAAAAAATCAGTGATGTTACAGTTCTTTTTTCACTCGGCATATTGAAATTACTAATGAAATAAATACAATTATTTAATAGAAAAAACAGACATTTAGAAACACTATAGGCGAGCATTTAAGCAACACTTTAGGTTAAACTGAGATCCGTAGCGGGCAAATTGCGAGTAACGCGCGCTCTTATTATCTCATCAAACTTTTTTTAAATTTTCAACAAGAAAGTTGTAAAATGTAGTTAAAGAAGAAAACTAAAACATTTGCTAAATATATTATCACACATTGCTAATTATATTATAAGAAAAATGTTCCAAACAGTTTTATTCAAAATTTAATAATATAGGCGTATACAAAAGCTTTTACAACATTCT